AATTGATAAATGAGCTCATATATTACAATAAATCTCAATAAACGATAAGTGAGCTCATATATTACAATAAATCTCAATAAACTTGAATTCAAAATCAATTATATAAAGCCTTTCTTATAACGATAGTAAATTTATTTGCTTCGTTTTATTTACAGTCCACCTCGTTATAATCACAGGAACGGGAACAAGAATCTGGTGACTTTAACGAGAATGTAACTATCATGAGGTGATTTTTTATTATGTTTTATAACAAAATTAGGATTGTTAAATGCGTGACTATAACGAGGTGCGAAAATTTTTCTATAATCGAACCAATAATTTTGGTATAGAGATATTATTAATCTAATTAAATTAAAAAATCCAATTCATAAAAAATATTTTATTATTATAGAAAATTAAATCAAAATAATATTAATTTATAGAAAAGTGAATTATATATTATATAAATTAGGTTCATAAAAAAAATGTATTAAAGAAAACTTATTAATAAAATATAACAAAATATGAGATTTTTCTCTTTATAATAAAATTTTCAATTTTTACCAAGAAATATTTTTATTTTTATCTCAAAATAAAAATAATCATCTGTAGTCTAGCATATATTTTTTGGAAGAAGTACGCTAAATGCATATAAAATGTAAGACTTTTTCTAATTAATTGTATGAAAAAAAATATATTAATAAATATATATTATTATCTAATTTTGATATAAAAATCAAAAACTTTTAATATAAAGAGAAAGCTCTATATTTCATTATATATTATTTTATAAATATTCATGAATCTAAATTCAATTTAAATTCAAAGCGAACTACAAAGCAATACGTTATAATAATTACATATATTTTTTTTTAATATGTCATGACACTATTAACATGTTAACTTTTCTTATCGATAACTCTATATATAGTTCGTTTTTATTCTAATTCATATTATATATAATATCTTAAATGCCAAAATAAAGCATGAAACCATGACGAAGTTGCAAGTCGAATCATAACCAGCGACCAAATATAGGTGTTTCCATTAAGCTATTTTTCAAAGAGCATAAAATGAGAAAAATATATTTCTGTCTGAATCCTCTATAAAAGGTGTCAAGATATGTTTGAGAGATACGTGTTTACTATAAATGATGTTTTTGCAGTCAACAATTACATGTATAAATGCTACATTTTACAAATCCCTTTGTGCATCATTTTATCAAGAATGCTTCGGAAGTGGCCAAATTATTCAAAACATCATACTCGAATAGAATATTAATTCTTTGGGTGCACTTCTGATAAGCAATCTTTGACACCACTTGATTCGGTGATACTTCCGACATGCTTCCATCTAGTCACTGTGTTCTTGTAACGGATTTATTCTAGTGCCATTCTAGGAGGAGATTTTAAAGATTAACGTGTCCGCGAATCATTCAAGTGACCCCAATACTTTATGGAATATCTTTTCTTTCCCGCATCGGCAATCATATGGTACGGTTCTCCAATTCGCACAGCAACGAAACTGTATTTAAAAATAAAATAATAAAAAAAAATCGCTAGTCAACTTCGCACATAGTACCTATCAACGGATAGATTAACGAATGAATGAATGAATAAGCTTGTTCAAAAAGACCGAGCAAAAAAGTTCTTCTGTTTTATTGTCAGCGTTTTTTTTTTTTGCAAAGTAAAAGCAAATGTCAACACGTTGTCTTTCAGGGCAGAGAAAGGCCACTTATTTGAATGTCTAGATCGTCAAATGGAGAGATGGAAAATAAATAAAAATCTATAGATTCAAGGTCACTTGAAGTACCCAGACGATATGAACTAATCAAAGTAGCAGTTGATTGCTTTTTATATTCATTCATTACTTTATAATCATTCAATTTGGCTTTTCCAAGATGATGAGTATAGAGGAATTTGACCAAGTGCTTGAGATTTCTCTCCTGTAAGCAATATAATTCAAGTCATTTACCTGTTTTTAAGATTTAATAAGTTCGAACGTGGCAAACATTAATTATCGTTACGAAAAAAACAAAAAAACATCAAATTGCTATTTTTTTTCAAGTATCACTAAATAACAATGGGGGTTACACGGTGAATCTCGTTAAAAATGAAGATCAAGGGTGATCTCAAAATTTTGAAATTTTTTTCTCGGGAAAAAGATGGGCAAACTAAAGAAAAAAGGACAATCCGGCGCAGCCACAAATTATATCACACGTAATCAAGCGCTCAAAAAGCTCCAAGTGACACTTGCAGATTTTCGGCGTCTATGCATTCTAAAAGGTATCTACCCACGTCAGCCAAAAAACAAAAAGAAGGCAAACAAAGGGTCAACGGCCCCCGTGACTTTCTACTACACGAAAGACATTCAGTATTTGTTGCACGAGCCAATATTAAACAAATTCAGAGAGTATAAGATTTTTGCGCGGAAGCTTAGTAAGGCGTTGGGAAAACGGCAGATTAAGGTTGCGCAAAATTTGGAAAAAAATAAACCGGTGTATACTTTGGATCATATCATTAAGGAGAGGTATTGTGATTTTTTTTTTTTTTAGTTTTTACTTTGACACACATTCGTTGATGTATGCATTTACCTCTTGATGAATAATGAAAAAGATACCCCTCATTCATTGACGCATTACGAGATCTCGATGATGCACTTTGCATGCTCTTCCTATTCTCCACTTTTCCCGCCACCAACAAAATAAAAAACGAGACAGTGGAGAATTGCCGGCGCTTATCGTCCGAATTTCAGCATTATGTAATGCACACAAGATGTTTGCGAAAGACGTTTCTATCGATAAAGGGCATTTATTATCAGGCGGAGATTAAAGGACAGACGATAAATTGGGTTGTGCCGTATCAGTTCAGTCAACAGGTGATTTACTAATGATTAGCGACAGTGAGGATATCAATTCGCAAACTCAATTATTTGAATCAATTAAATTAGGTTCCAGATGACATAGACTTTCGCGTAATGTTAACTTTTCTGGAATTCTATCAAACTCTTGTCGGATTTGTAAATTATAAATTGTTCACCGATATTAATTTGTTGTACCCGCCAAAATTCGACAAAGAAAAGGATGAAGAAGCGGCTGGGTTGGACGCATATTTGATTGAGTCTACAAATATTTCAGCAAATATACTTGATCAATCAAAGAAACCAGAGAAAACTGATAATCATGACAACAGTAAAAATGAAATAAACGATGCTAAAGAGGAATTAACCCAGAAAAAAGAATGGGAGAAACGCTTAAAAACGTTGGCTCAGAAAATAACAGAAATTAAAGCACAAGATGTCAAATCAGCAGCAGCTGAGACACAAACAGATGATTCTCAAACAGCTGAGATCAATGATAATAAAAATCAACTGATTGATGATTTTAATGAGCAACAAAGCAATGGGAAATCTTCATCAATAGCTGAAAACCAACAAGTTACGCAGATAACGCCCACTACTAAATTGTTCACTTATTACGATATTCATTCAGCATCCGTGGCTGAGTCCGAATTCCAACAACTATTTTCGAAATGCATTTTCTATCTATCGCGCGAAGTTCCGCGTTATTCATTGGAATTTGTGATTCGTGCTTTTGGTGGACAAGTAGGTTGGGATCCAACTGTAGGAGGCGGCTCTCTCTTTGACGAAACCAACGAAATTATAACTCATCAAGTTTGTGATAGGCCTTCGCAAAACCATCAATTCCTGTCGCGTGTTTATATCCAACCGCAGTGGGTTTATGATTGTGTGAATGCGAGAAAGTTATTGACTACCGAACCTTATCGACCTGGAAAATTGCTGCCTCCTCATTTATCGCCGTTTGTTGAACATAAAGAGGGTGATTATATTCCATTAATTGAAGATCATTTTGAAGGTCAAGAAGACGCTATGGAAGATGAGGATGTAAAAGAGGAGGGCGAGGATGAAGATGACGATGATGATGTCAAGAAAGTTAAAAAGTCAAACGAAATTGTAGAAAAGGCCGAAGATTCATCTAACGAGGTAAGAGAACAATTAAAATTTGATCCTTAAAAGCGAGAAGTATAAAATTGTATATTTTTTATTTTTTCTTTAGTCTGAAGAGGAAACCGAAGAGATGGTTCTAATGAAAGAACTTGAAGCTGAAGCTAAAGGAATACCTTTCTCCAAATACCAACAAGAACGAAAACAACTAAAATCAGAAACCATCGCCACTTCAAGAAAAACAATAAAATCGGGTCAAAAGAGAACAATCCAAGAAATCGAAGCAGCCGAAGAACAAGAAATAAAAGAATTGGGAAAAATTATGATGTCAAAGAAACAAAAGAAACTTTACACAAAAATTGAGCACGGGCGAAAGAAACAGCAACGAAAAGTTGCTAATCTGCAACAGAGGAAACGTGAATTAGATGCTGCAACTTCTAAAAAGAAGAAACGTTAAGCGTAGCTTTTTTTTGTTGAATGAGAACTGAGTAATTAAATAAGTTGGTGATTATTGTAATTATTTTCATTCGAAATCATATAAATAATGCTGTATCTGGAACTTAATACTAGATGATATCTTCTTGACAAGTTCATAGCTTGCATTACACTTGTACTTTTGTGAATCGAGATTATCGAACGGTGTTGTCCGTGTCAGAAGCCGAAGTGCAACGAGTGTTGATATCTATATAACATTTATAAAGTAATAAATAATCAAATAAAAAATATAAAAGTGCGGAAAAGAATGCAAAAAAAGATTCATTCAAACCTGC